GGTCAAGGCCAAGGTATGCCACAAAGATCACACCGTGCAACAGATCTCACCACGAAGAGACAGATTTGAGCTGGGATAAGAGAGACAGACAGAGAGATACCAAGAGAGCAGTCTGTGATGGCAGGGACCTTTTAAACGGCACATACATTGCATTTGGCAGCTGGTGGTTGGTGATAACTTGGCTGGAGGCCCTGAGTCACTGAAGGTGGGCTGGGAGAGCACCTCGTTGGCCTGAAACCCGAGGATTTGGCCAGGATGGATTCTCTGCCTTCCCAGCACTGGGATTTCAAGTGTGCACCACCAGTCCCATAATTTTCCATTAGGGCACTGGGGCTAGAACCCAGGTCCTCACGCAAGCACACAGCAGACATTTTACCCACTGAGCCGCCTTTTCAGGCTTACAGTTCTGTTTTCATTCTAGGTCTTTGGGTCCCAGGGCAGCAGCCTAGTCCAAAACAATAGCCTCCTTCTCTCTTTATTTCGGTCCTTTGTTAGTTGTTTATTTAGCTGGCTCTGAGGATGCTATGGATACCAGGGCCTTGTGCATGTTAAGCTTAACACTGGGCTGTATTTCTGAGCCCTATTTTATTTCTTTATTGGAATCAGAGGCTCACTGTGTAGCCCAGGCTAGACTCTGCTGAGCCTCCCAAGTGCTTGGTTATAGTCATGCCTACTTTGTAAGTTTTCTAAAATGAAAACACACCTGTAGAGAGGGATTAATATCAAGGGGAAAGATGAGACACGTAGTGCTGGCTGGGGCACAGAGGTAGGGATCAGGAGGCGTTGTTAGCACACACACGTCCACAGTTTAACCTTACAGTGGGCTGCAGACTGAGCCTGGTGGTACACTTCGGTTATATCAGCAACCAGGACGAAGAAGCAGGAGGATTGCAAGTTCAAAGCCAGCCTACCTATTGAATTCCAGGACAGCTGGGGCTGTATAGAAAGAACCTGACTCCCTTGTTTTGTTACTCTGTGTAGGCTTAGCTGTCTTGGAACTCACTCTGTAGACCAGGCTGGCCTTGAATTTACAGAGACCCACCTCCTGAGTACTGGGATTAAAGGCATGCACCACTGCCCAGCTTTTTTTTTTTTTTTTTTTTTTTTTTTTTTAAGAAAGAGTGGGAAAGAGAAAGGGGCTGGGGAGATGGTTCTGTGGGCAAAGGCACTTGTCACCACGCCTGAAGATACTAGTTCAATCCCTAGGACTCACAGAGCACAGAAATTGAAAAGTTTCTGCACCCCAATAAGACTCTCCCATGCAGATGTCCAAATCAGACGAAATCAAACTGAATTAGAAAAAGCCCCCCCACATTTAATGGACACAACACTCCTGGATGGCTTTCCAGTCCCCCAGGGAGGAGACAGGAAAGAAAGACTGGAAAGCCACAAGTCTATTTTCTGGGGGGCAGTTCAAATACCCTGTGGGAGTGGCCTTGAGCATCTCTGGGGGAGGGGCTGTCATTTGGCGGGTTTTCTGAAATGCAGCAGGGTTTGGAGGGAGATGGGGGAGGGGGCTGAGGGTGGAACCTCCACAGTAACATCCCAGACTCTTTGGGTATGTGGATGCCAGGGGCTGGGGTGAAGCTTCCACCAGAACAGAAATGGCTTCTTAAAGTTGTCCTCCAGCCTCTATATATTGTGAGTGCGCGCGCGTGCATGCGTGTGCGTGCGCACACATATACACACACAAATTAATTTAAAAAGAATAATCTCACAAAACATTCAAAGTAATTTCCCCTTCCCCTCATCAGGCTGTTTCAGTGGGGATAGGTTCCGTTCCACAGCAATCACAAACAGCCCCAACTTCCCACTGGGTTACAAAGGAAGAGGAGCTGGAGATGGGAGAGAAGGCCGCTTTTTCAAAGGACCTGGATTCAGTTCTCACCACCCACACGGCACCTCTCAAGCAGCTGTAACTACAGTTTCAGGGGATCCGACACTCGCTTCTGGCCTCTAAGGACATCAGACACACACTGCTGGCAAAACATCCCTACACATAAAAAAAAAAATTAAATAAAATGCAAAAAAAATGAAGGTTTGTTGCTCCCTGCTGGTACCTATGCAAATTCTAATAGGTTTGTCCACCACACTCGTCCCTCGCTCCTTCCTCCCCCCCCTCCTTGTCTTTTTCTTTTACAGCATGTGCAGCTAAATTCCTAAAAAGTTTAATATTGGTAAGAATGGGTCCCTTTTGGTTCCTTCCACACTTCAGCCTCATTTTTCACTCCTGAGCTTCTTGTCTGTTGCAGAACTCAAAAGCCCCTGTCCATATGCAAAGCCATCTACAAGTTCTGTAGGAACCGGGTGGCTACAGGGGTTTCCTGTCTCCCAGCAGGGGTTATTGACCTTGCTGAAATCTACTTCTGGTGCTGATACAGTTTTGAAAGGCCCGCAGGAAATGGATAGTTTATGTAATTAACTCCGAGCCCCTGTGTATAGTTCCTGGCTCGGTTTAATCTAATGAATTATGGGAACTGAAACAGAAGCTCAACAGGACTTTGCGTGGTGAGGGCTTGTCTTTCTTACTAAGCCAGGAAAACATGGCTGCCAGGGAGACAATACTGAAGCAGGTGGTGAGAAAAGGGACTTGCTTGCTGCCGAGTCTGAAGACTTGAGTTCGATCCCCAGGACCTACACGTCAGGACAAGAGAAACTACTAATGATGCAAGCTGTCCTTAGGCCTGAACACATGCACACAGTAAATAAAGAAGTGTAAGCAACCATTTAATGATGAGAAGATGCTCTAATACGTTCATAAAACCTATATATACATCCTCCATATCCTTTTTTTTGTTTGAGACAGGGTGTTACAGTGTGGCCCAGATTGGCCTGGCACTCACTACTGGTAGCCCAGAATAAGCTTCTTCAGAGTCACAGTAATCTTCCTGCCTCAGCCTCCTGAGCGCTGGGATATCGATTGCGTGGGACCGTCCTTCAAAAGGCTGATAGGGATGCCTCCTCCTCCTCCAACAAGCCCTCCCTTGCCCTCTCCCTGTCTCTCAGGCTAGTCTTCTCTTGCCCCTCAAGCCCCTCTTTACTCCTGGTGAGACTGTCTGTGCCCCAGGCTGGTCATGAACTTAGAATCCTTCCATAGTTAAGACTGCAGGCCTGAGCAAGAGCTGTGGGTGAGGCCCTGCCCAGAAGGCTGGGAGAACCCACTGAGCCCAGAACTATCCTCTGTTCCTCCCCCCCACTCCCCGCAGACCCCAGGTGGTCAACAGAGCCTCTTGGCTCACCATGGCTCAGTGCAGGCTCTCAATGCCTTCTTCCCCCTTTGGGAAGCTTTCTCCCACTGATGAAATCTGAAGGAATCTGGGTTGGAGGTTCCTTCGGCCAGCGGGAAGAGAGCTGGCTGGAACCGGTTTGTGTGTTTCTACCCTTACAAAGGGCAGGCACTGGGGCATAACACTCCTAGCCAATCCTGAGTCCCACCCTTCAACCTCATTTTTCTGAGACTCAACCCTACATGTCGCCAGGATTCTGGGTTCAGGAAGCCTCTTTCCTCCTCTTTGAGTCTGTCCTTCTTACCCTTGGAAGGGTGACAGTGTCTAGACTAAGAATGGACTTTGCTGAAGTGGTCTAAGGTCAATTTTTTAAAAAAGTATTGTTTATTACATTTATTTGCATGCTTGCGCGCGCGCGCGCGTGTGTGTGTGTGTGTGTGTGTGTGTGTGTGTGTGCACGTTATGTGTATGTGTGTGTGTGTGTGTGTGTGTGTGTGTGCATTGTATCTGCTGTTGGCAGTACCTGATCTGTGACTGTCTGATCATTTCTCCTGACTAGGGAGATGATTTGCTGTCCAAGCATGATGCCTGGAGTTTCAACCCCCCCTCCCCCGGGGCGTTCATGTAGAAGACAGACCCTGCCATGAAAGCCTGTAACTCCATCACAGCACAGACAGAGTCCCACCAGCCTCAAGCCTAGCCAAAACCGACGAGCTCAGATTCTGTGAAAGGGAGAAAAATCGAGGATGACCCCCGATGTCCCCCCTGGCCTCCCCACATCCACTTGAGGGCAGGTAGAGCTGTTGGCACACAAATGGATTAGTCTCAGGGTGGTCTCAAGCTTGCTATCTGGGGTTGACCTTGAATTACTGATTCTTCCCACATCAACCTCCTGCTGTCTTCTGAATGCTGGGAATGAAAAATGTCCAGCCTGGACTCCCCAGAATTTAAAAAAGATTTATGTTTTACATGAATGTTTGCCTACATGTATGTATGCATGCCACGTTCATGCAGTGCCTGCAGTAGCCAGAAGAGTGTGGAGCTGTTGGAACACAATTCTGGTCTTCTGCAAGAGCAGCAAGTGCTCCTAAGGGCTGAGCCATCTCTCAGGATAGCCCCTCCCTTCTTTCCTTTGTTTTTCTAAACTGGGTTTCTCTGTGTAGCCTTGGCTGTTCTGGAACTCACTCTGTAGACCAGGCTGGAACTCAAACTCAGGGATTCGCCTGCCTCTGCCTCCCGAGTGCTGGAACTAAAGACATGTGCCACCACCATCTGGTTTATCCATGTATTTTTTTAATACAGAGGAGCTTGATGGTCCAGGCCTGTAATCCCAGAATTTGGGAGGTTCAAGGTCAGTAAAAGCAAAACCTAAGACAACAAAAAACTAACTTTTCAATGTCTACCTGCCCTTTGTAGAGGTCCTGATACATTTTATTCACAACAACCCACAGCTAGAGTCCTTTAGCAGGGATGAAATGGATGTGGGTGGGTGTGGGTTGGTAGGGCTCCCCAACGCCCCGCCCCACCCCTTTCGGACGCCTTTGGATCCTCTCTGGCCCCACCCTCTCCCCGGCCCCACCCCTGTCTAGGCATTGTTATTCAGCCTCGGTTGGGGGACCAGCCCCTCCTTGTTCTTGGTCCCGCCCCTCGCTCAATGGCGCCGAACTCTCCCTAACCAATCAGCGCTCGCAGGATGGCCCCCGCCTTCTCAAGCCCCGCCCTCCGCATTTAATTCTAATCGCTTCCGTCTAGCCGCCTCAGAGCCACGCGGCGCGGCCGGGGAGGTGTTCCCTCCGCTCGTTGGCGCCACTTTCCACATCCTCTTGCCGCTACCCATCTGCATCTGAGAATCTGATTTCCTCTCCGGGACCGCAGCTCCTCAGTCTACTTCTCCTAGGACTCCAGTACCCAGGGACCGAGAGCCAGGAGCCCTAACCCTGGGATCCCGGATCCCGGGCTCCCGGAGCCAGGAGGCATCCCGGATCTGCGCCACCTGGATTGAGCTTTCTTGAAGACCTCGGCCGCTTGGACGACTTCAAGCCTTCCCGGAGTCAAAGATCCCCACGTCCGACCCAGGCGCTCTCAGTTACCAGTTTTCGGGGATCCGATACCACCAGTAACGGGGTCTCGGCGCACAGCCCAGGGAGCTTAGGACGCTCCAGCCCTCGAGCGCCGGGGGACACACAACTTCAAGGACCCCGCCTCGTCTCAAGAACATTGCACCCAGTCTCCAGGCGCTCAGGGAACCCCCGATTGCGGCTCAGCATGGTAGTGGACCCCCCTAAGGCCGACCCCAAAGGGGTGACGGCGGTGGATCCCGCCGCCAACGGTGACCTGGCGCTGGGCTCCGGAGAGGACCAAGGCGCGAAAGGAGGCTGTTGCTGCGGTTCCTGGGACCAAGTGCGCCGCTGCCTTCGCGCCAACCTGCTGGTGCTGCTCACGGTGGCGGGGGTGGTGGCCGGCGTGGTGATAGGGCTGGGGGTCTCGGCAGCGGGCGGTGCTGAGGCGCTGGGCCCCGCGCGCCTGACCGCCTTCGCCTTCCCGGGAGAGCTGCTGCTGCGTATGCTGAAGATGATCATCCTGCCGCTCGTGGTGTGCAGCTTGATCGGAGGTGCGGCCAGCCTGGACCCCAGCGCCCTGGGCCGCGTGGGCGCCTGGGCGATGCTCTTTTTCCTGGTTACCACACTGCTCGCGTCTGCGCTCGGCGTGGGTCTGGCTTTGGCGCTGAAGCCCGGCGCCGCCTTTATCGCTGTCAATGGATCGGTCGGAGACACCAGCGACCACACTGCACCCGCCAAGGAGGTACTGGATTCCTTCCTGGATATCGCGAGGTGTGTTCCCGCCGGGGATTGGGGTGGGAAGGGCCCGGTGCTAGCGGCAACGATGGTTCGGGGGAAGGAGTCTCTTTTTTAAATCTATGTAACTCTGGATGGCCCTGAACTCGACAGCCTTTCTTGCTTCGCCCTCTGGAGCTCAGGAATTACACGTGTGTGCCATCACTAGCGGTGGGACTTTATTTAGACAGTTATTCACCCCCACCCCCAGAGTGAGACACGCCTTCTACAGTCTAGGAAAACCCAAGGTAATCTTAACAGGACCTCTAACGCTTTGGAAGTGTGAATTTTTACGGAAGTCCCTTAAATTTGGGGGCGGGTCCCGACGTGGAGGGCTAGTGGAGGAGACTAACCCTACCTAGTCTTGTTATGTTCTTGGAGACAGGTTACAGGGTCTCCTACAGCCCAGCACGGCCTTGAATGCCTGATCTTCCTGCCTCCATCTCCCAGGTGGCTGGGATAACAGCGTCATTTTGCCTGCTGAAAACAAGTCTGCTACGAAGCTCAGACTGCCCCCTAGCAATCCTGCCCCAGCCTCCTTCCTCGCCTTGCAAGGGGTAGGGGCGGTGTCTAAAGAGATACAAGGTCTAAGGAAAAGAACCAGAGCCAAGCCCCCCTCCAAGAAATAGTATGCAGCTCCGCAAAAGAAAAACAGCTGTGCAAACTCTATTTTGGGGTGGCAAAGAGATAGGGCTCCCGGATAAAGAATTGTTCCCAAGGTCCAAGGCCTTTGAGCTCTGTCAGGGGTCGCTGGAGGTTAATGGGGATGTAAGGGGCTCCCTGATTCCCAGTGATAAGTGTCCTGCGTATTACTCAGACCCGGCCCCTTACTCACTCTCTCTAACCCCAGGCAGCCAGCCAGCCTTTCTGTGCCTTCTCTCTGCTTTACCATCTCACTTCCCCCTGACACTTCCCTTTAGTGCCCCCCCCACGTGGGGAGTGATACTTATCCTTCCCTCCCACCCCAGAGGACTCTAGACTCCGGGTCCACGTGGCCTTGCCATGAGGCCTTCTGATTGAGTGTCTTCAGATTGGGGACTTTTCTGGAAGGAAAAGAGAAGGGGGCGGAGGAAGAAGTGAGTCAGAAAACAGGGCATCCTCTGTTTCTGGGCCACAGTAGGGACTGAGATGGAGGACTGACTGGGCTCTTCTTGGCCTGACGGAGTATGCCTCCTGGCTGGTGGAGATTAGCTGGGTCCTGGCCCTGCCCTGGACTGCAAACAGGCACACCCACGGTCAGGCTGTTTATGAACAGAGCCTTTTCCTCCACCCAAGCTCAAAACAGCTGGAATGCACTTGGCTGGCTGGCTACCCTCAGTCTTAGCCGAGAACACTTCTCGAACAGCTGGCACTCAGGTAAACTCGGCATGCAGAGGCACACGTGGCCTTAAGCTAGCTGTGTGGCACACATACCGGGGACGGGGCATTCATCATTCTATGTGTGTGAGTGTCCTGACTGCATGTGTGCCCAGAGCTCGCAGATACCAGAAGAGGTTCCTGGATTCCCCGGGACAGTGGTTACAGGTGGTTCTAAGCTGCCACGTGTATCATCTGAAGCCCCCACCATTAGGACTATTTTGGAGCCAGGGTTTCTCTGTAGCTTTGGAGCCTCTCCTGGAACTCACTCTGTAGAGCAGGCTGGCCTCGAACTCACAGAGATCCGTCTGCCACCAGCTTGGAGCCACTTTCTTCGATAATGCCACTAGCCACGTGAAAGCTTTGCCTGTGTTCTAGAGGGCAGCACAAGTCAGACACGGTGGCCCACACCTCTAAGAAAGACCCAGCACTGGTGAGGTGGAGGCGAGGGGGTCAGGAGTTCTAGGCAGTCCTAGGCTACAAAGAGACTCTTGCCTGCCCCGCCCACCAAGAACAAGGACAAACAAAAATCCCACCTGTCACTACTTCCTTGAGCAAGTTTCTTGCCTTTCTGTGCCTCAGCCAGCCCCCCCCCCCCCCGTGAGAAAGTGTGTGTGTGTTTATGGACTTTTTAAGACACCTCGCCTTTGTAGCAGCCCCCACGCCTGCACCAACACACCTGCAGCCCCCTTCAGTTAAAAAGGAGTTGGCTATATAAAACAGTAGCTGTGCCACCTGGCATATGGCAGACACCCGCCACACTCAAGTGGCCATGCAAGGACAGATGCATATTCATGACCAGAACAGCTGTCCCTTGTCACCAGATCTTAGCCTCCGACTGCCACGATTCATTGTGCCCAGATCCCCGTGGGCCCCCCCCCCCCCCCCCCCGCTCTCCGACCCACCAGCCTGCCCCTCGGGGATTGCCTTGTCCCTCAGACCTCCAGAAGTAGCTGATGCAAGACATCCAGGGTATTAAGTGGTTTCAGGGGGTGGAGCTAAGGCCTGGTGTGACCCTGCCTTTGCTTTCCGCTCATGAGCCCGGGTTTTTCTTTTTTGGGGTTTTCCCCCCCTTAACCCACAGTCCCTTGGTTCTGAAACACCAGCTTCCTGGAGCCAGAAGAGGCCAGTTAAGATCCCACATCCTGGAAAGGTGTGCTGGCCTGTTGGTGTTGAACTGTCTTGTCCTCCACCAGCTACTCAGGGGGCTGGATGATCACAAGTCGGAGGCAAGCCTGGGCCTACCACAGTTTAAGTCCTCGCAAGCCTGTGTAACTTAGCAAGACCTGTCGCAAAAATAAGTAAAAAGAGGGCTGAGAATGTAAGTTCAGTGGTAGAGAGAGGGCAAGGTCCTTGGGTTCGGTCTCTATTATGGCAAAAGTGAATAAATTAATTAGAGGATTTGGGGGAGTGTGTGGTGTGGCTCAGGGGCTTAAGGTACTGGCTTTGATCTCTTGAGACACACAGTCTGGAGGAAACGGTCACCTGCACACAGAGAGCAATCGGGGCACGCAGGCACACATCCCTCCCCCATAAATAAATGTTTATGGCCTGGTGTTATGGTGTGCTCCTTTAATCCCAGCACAGTGGCAGAGGGAGGTGGATCTCTGAGTTCAATAAAGGCCAGCCAGGGTTACAGGGTGAGACACTACCTTAAAAAAAATTACACATATAGGGTGGGGTGTGTGTGTTGTAAAGAGTGTGACTGCAACCCTAACACTCGGTAGATGCAGGAGAATCAGAAGTTTAAAGCCACCTTCAGCTGCATATAAAGTTTGAGGCCAGCCTGGGCTACATGGGACACTTTCTTAAACAATCAAGATTAAGGAAGAGATTCCCATCACCACCCTCCAAGAGGCTAGCCCTGTCCCTCTCATGTCTGCCCTCCCCATCCTCCCACGACAGCGCCTAACAACAATGTCTGTTTCTGCAGGAATATTTTCCCCTCCAACCTGGTGTCTGCTGCCTTCCGCTCTGTGAGTCCTCCTCTGGGGTGCGCTAAGGGGGCCGGCGGCGGTGGGATGGGGACGGGCAGAGGAAAGGAAGACACGTGGAGCAACTTGCCAAGCGGGGTTGCCACGGAGACTCATCCATGTGTCCCCCCATGAAGAGATGAGACTCTGGGGGCCTGGCAAGATAGCAGTGGGCACCTGAACATCCGATTTTGATTCCTGCCACACACACTTGTCCCCTGACGTCCAAACACCGGGGGTTGGAGGGGATGCACCTGTGGGCACTCGTGAGCACACAACACTAAAGTTTTAAAGAGAGAAATGAGAGTGTGGGAGAGGCTCGGTGGGGTGTGTAACACCAGCTCAGGAAGGCCGAGGGCAGAGCACAGTGACTTAGGCTACACAGCAGACGGTGTCTTACAAATGAAACTGATCACGAAGGCTCTGACCTATGATCCCAGCACTTGGGAAGTGGATGGGGAGGGAATGGGGGCTCAAGGTTATCCTTGGCTACCTAGGGAGTTAGGAGTTAGCCTGAGCTACAGAAGACCCTGTCTTTGAAAAGAGAATGGGAGGGAGGAAGAAGGGGGGGATGCTTGGGCTCAGTTTGTGGCTTTGTTCCCAGTATGGTGTGTGGCAGCTTTGGTGACATTTGACACTGACTTTTCCCCCCCACCCCATCTGCAGTATGCCACCTCGTATGTTCCCAAACAAAGCATCACGTGTGATCAGCAGGTGAGCTGAAGGGTTGGGTGGGGGTCCTTGCCGCTGGGGGGGGGGGAGCCTTGCCGCTGGCCCAGCATAGCTGTTGAGTTTTGCCGCCCTCCATCCCCTCTGTCTTCTGGATCTCCCAGAAGTCTAGAGTGAATTTAGGTTTACACCTAAATTCTGCAGTCCTTGAGACTGGAGTTTTAGTTTCATTTGCCAGTACTGCATAAGCCAGGCATGGTGGCACACATCCGTGGTCCCAGTAATAAGTAGGGCTACAGAAATCTCAGTAAGTTAGGGTCATCCTTGGCCGGCAAGGGTTACACAAGAGACTATCTCAAGAGAGGGGTCGGTGGAGCAGGTTTTGGGCATTTGCTGCTTCCAGCGTGGTAGCGGGGAGCCATGCTGACACTTGGCTTGACACTCACTGATCCTTCCAACCCTGTCGTCTACAGCCGCCTCCCCCCTGTATACAGAGAGAGATCAACGGCACCATGGTCAAGGTGAGCAGGGCGGGGCTGAGGAAACTCCACCTCAGGCCCGCTGTGCCTTTTCGGTTTGCCCCCCACCGCTGGTGCTTGAGTCTCCCCATCCCACCCCCCAAAAAAAGTACAGTGTGGAATTTGGTTGAGAGTCTGGGGTCCTTGGAACTGGAGATGCAGCTCAGTGGGTGGAGCGTTTGTTTAGCATGAAAGTGACCCACCCTGGTTCGGTCCCTAGCGCCATGGAAACCAGGAGGGTGGTCCGTGACTGGGATCCCACATTAGGGATATAGAGGCAGGAGGGTCAAATGTTCAGGGTTATCTCTGGATACATATGGAATTCAGAGGCCAGCCTGGGTTCTCAGAGACCAGTGGAATTCCATAGTCCTTCCGTGTCTTCCGAGGTTCTGAAGATCAGTTGTTCCCTCAAGTTAGCTAGGCAAGCCCTCGGAATGGAGCCACACCTCCGGGTGGATTCAGCCCTTCTTCACCCTTCCCCCGCCTGGTCCCACGTTCTCTCCCACCTGCCCACTTCCCAGAGTTCCCAGTGCCCAGTTCCCTCTAGGATGTTTTATTTTCTCCATCCCCTCAGCCGCATCCTCGAACTTCGTCTGCCTTGTGCATGTCCTGTTAGCCAGGGTGGGTAGGTTTCTTCCCGTTCTCTGGATGCTCCACTTAGACTCATTTCTAGGTCCTCTCTAGAACCTTCTGTTGCTTTTAAAAAGTGTGTATGTGTGAGGGGACGCATAGCAGGGTGGCCGTGTGGAGGTCACAGAGCTTGTGGGAGTCAGCTTTCTCCTTCCTCCGTGTAGCTAGCGCCTCGCCGGGGGATCAGGCTTGGTGGCGGCACGTACCTTTACCCACTGAGTTCTATCATTGCTCCCCTCTATTTTAAAGACTGGTTGATCCATGTGTGTTGTTTTTGAGCACAGAGGCCAACAAGGAGTTGATCCCTTGGGGCTGGACTTCAGAGGGGTTTGCAGGACACCCGGCTTGTGACATAAATGCCGCCGAGATCCAAACTCCGTTCCAGCCCCCTCTGCTCGAGGCCTCCTCTCCTCTCAGGTCCTTCCTTGCGTGCATTCCCTCTTAATTTGCTTTCTATCGCCATGAGAACCATCATGACCAAAAAACAACTTGGGGGAAGGAGAGGGGTTGTTCTCTCTTAGCCGCTGGCAGTCCGTCATGGAGGGACTCCGGCAGAGGTCGTGGAGGGGCGCTGCTTCCTGGCTTGCTCCCCGTGACTTGCTCAGTGTGCTGTCTTTACAGAATCCAGAACCACCCTGCCAGGGTTGGCAGCACCCACCACAGTGGGCTGGTCCCGCCCACATCAGTTATTAATTCAGAAAACGCTGCACAGATTTGCCTACAGGCCAGTCTGATTGATAGAGGCTTCTTCTCATTTGAGGTTGTCCCATCTTCCCAGATGAGCCTAGCTTGTGTAAAGCTGATAAGACAAACAAACAATAAATCTCCAGGACTCGCTCGTTAGCTCCAGGCCCACTCCCTCTGGCTGACCCCTGATCTGATTTCCTTGCCCCCTGAAGGGCGTAGGACCAGTGGTTGTGTAGATGGGTAAATGCTCTCTCTTCCCTACCCTGCTCTGTTCTTCTCCCAAAGCTGGGCTGTGAGGTGGAGGGCATGAACATCCTGGGCCTGGTGGTGTTCGCTATCGTCTTCGGTGTGGCCCTGAGGAAGCTGGGGCCTGAGGGCGAACTGCTCATTCGTTTCTTCAACTCCTTCAATGACGCCACCATGGTCCTGGTTTCCTGGATTATGTGGTAGGTGGTGGGGACAGGGGGTGGGCATGTCTGTTGTATAATATGGAATATGGGGGAGCCTCCCAGGGCTCTCACCAGAGCCTGAGGGGGGTCTTCATTAGAACCCAGTGCCTACCATTCCCTGAACGAGCGGCTTGCCTTCTCCATGCCTCGGTTTCCCCGTCTATGAAATAGTGACCGTTCTGTATTGATTCCATGGCTACTAGAATTGATGTATTTGCCTTCTTGATCATTCTAGAAGGCGATGGAAGATAGCCAGACTGATGTACCACAGCTTCCAATGTAACAGCTCTGGGTCCTTCTGAGTAAAGGATCTGAAATGGTGCCTTCCTTACCCTGTTGCCAGAGTGTAGGCAGATCTTGAGGAGGCGCAGGAAAAGAGGTTCATCTGGGGCGGTGGTGGCTTGCCCCTCAGCTGCCAAGGACGCCTCACCTGTGTCCCATCCCCTGTGCCTGGCGCCTAACTAAGTGAGCAGCCGCTGGTGTGAGTGCTGTCCTTTGCTTTTGTTAAATGACTTCAGGAAATGAAAGCAAAAACCACACACAGATGCCTCTGGTTTCCTCCTTGCCCATCTGGTCCCATATTGTCTCCGCCTACCTGGCCTGGATCTAAAGGACAGAAATTGAGAGAAAGACAAGATGGTGACAAGAAAGAAAGAAAGAAAGAAAGGAAGGAAGGAAGGAAGGAAGGAAGGAAGGAAGGACACACTCCAGGGGCAGGTGAATCCCTGTGAGTTTGAGGCCAGCCTGGTCTATTCCAGGATAGTCAGGACTATTGTTAGCTTTCCTGGGGCTGGAGAGAGTCCTGGCTTAGTGGTCCAGAGCCCTGGCAACTCTTCCAGAAGACTGGGACGGGTACCCAGATCCATAGGGTGGCTTGCAAGCACCTCTAAGTTCAATTCCAGGGGATCCATTGTCCCCTTCTGGCCTTTGTGGGCACTGCACCCATGTGGGACAGAGACATATGAACAAGCAAGACCCCCTTATACATAAAATACAAAATCTTTAAGGAAAGTTAGCTTTCCAGTGGCTGGAGAAATGGCTAGGGCATTCTGTGCTCTTCAGACGATCCAGGTTTGATTCCCAGCATCCACATGGTGGCTCACAACCATTTGTAACTCTAGCTTCAGGGGCTCAGACCCCTTCTACCGGCATTTCAGGGCACTAAGCATGTACATGGTGAATAGACCTACATTCAGGAAAAGCACTCATACAAGATAAGATGGAAAAATTTTAGCCAGGCACGATGAAACATGCCTTTAATCTCAGTATTCGGAAGGCGGAGGCAAGTGGATGGATCTCTGCAGGTTCAAGGCCAGTCTGTTCTATTTATAATGAGTTCCAGGACAGCCAAGGCTACATAGGGAAACCCTGTCTCCACAAGAGAAAAACGAATGGACCAGAAAAGGCCACGCTCACTGGGTGTGTCTTTTTGTTGTAGATTTTTGGAAACAGGGTTTCACCACGTAGCCAGACTTGCCTCAAACTCAGTTGTTCCTCTGCACCCAAGTGAAGGGGTCACTGACATTCACTGCCACATTCAGTACTGTTTGTGTGTGGTGCTGGGGATCTGACCCGGAGCGAAGGAACTGCTAAGCAAGTCCTGTTTGGCTGAGCCATGGCCCCCGCCCTTCACTGGGTGGGTGGGGTGCCGGCTCTCGGCTCCACCACTGGGCCACATCCATACCCCTAGCTTGTCCTGATCAGGAAGATCACTGCCGAAGTAACCAGGTTGGAATGTAGGTGACAATGGCTCCCAAGCCCGCTTGGTTTCCTGCTGTGGCGCTGCCTGTTCCCAGCTGTGTGCTCTCCATAACTTCCCTGTGCCTTGCTTGGTTTTTCCCTGTCGGCCTTGGGGCCTGTAGACAGCTGCTTTCCGAGGTCACACACGGGTTAATCTGTGTACTGTTCTCAGGACAGGACCTGGTCTGTCCCATTCCCAGAGTAAACAGTGGCAGATATTTATTTAAGCGTTTGCACTTAGAAAATTTCTGGGCAAGTCTGAGTGGCTAGGATCTGGCTAACCTGCTGGCTCTCCCTAGTTGCACAGGTGGCTGGGAAACTGGTGCCGTGGCAGCTAGACAGGAGGGTAATGGAAGCCTAGCTGACAGCAAGTGCACCTTGGGGCCTTTGTTCTAGGAGACAGGGGTGGTTGTTGGACCAGAAGTGGGGCTGTCTACAAATGCCTCCCGGCTAGTGTCTCACGTCATCCTGTAGCAATTCCTGAGTTAGTAGTATTACCTTGCCTGGTTGGTGTTTTGTTTTATGGCAAAGGCTAAAAGCAGGGTTTTGAAGTACCACTGAGCCACGCCCCCAGCCCCTCACTGGGGGATTCTAGGCAGGGGCTCCACCAATGAGCCATGCCCCCCACCTTCTTGAGATGGGTACCATGTGCATTCAGAGCCTGTGGAGTTAGAACACCAGATCCCTTGGAGCTGGAGTTCCAGGCTGTTGTGAGCTACCACGTAGGTTCTGGAAACTGAACCTGGATTCTATGGAAAAGCAGCCAGTGATCTTAACTGCTGAGCCCTCCAGCACCCGGCCTTGGACTTTTGATCCCCATAACTTTACTAATAGCACAGTGTCTGGGATGGCAGCTTTGTAGTCCATTTTATACGCACATTCAGGGGTGGTTCTACTAGCTATGACTGGCATGCTTGTAATAGGAACTGCCTAGTGGGCTGTCATTCAGCCGTGATCAAAGGCTTGGGGCAAAGGCCACAGACCTGGGAGTTAGCGTGACCCAGTTACACCTCTTTCTTTCTTTGCTTTTTTCTGCGAGCGTGTTTCTGACAGCAGCCGCTTTTAGCAAGCAAACCCAGAAAGCAAATGACTCAGAGTGGAGGGGACTTTTCATCCTGGCAGGGATGGGAACCATCGGGCTTTTATTTCACAGCTGCGACCCCTTCAGAGGGAGGGAGCGAGTCTACAGGTAGCTGAGTCTCCCACAGGCCAGTCGTGGAGTGGCGCCCTGGGCAGCTCCAAGACTTCAGGGAGAGGCTGGGAGGTGTGGTCAGCAGCAGTAACCTGTCTCTGCGATCATCAGGTACGCCCCTGTCGGCATCTTGTTCCTGGTGGCCGACAAGATTGTAGAGATGAAAGATGTCCGCCAACTCTTCATCAGCCTAGGCAAATACATCATGTGCTGCCTCCTGGGCCATGCCATCCACGGGCTTGTGGTTCTGCCCCTCATCTACTTCCTCTTCACCCGAAAAAACCCCTATCGATTCCTGTGGGGTATCATGACGCCGCTGGCCACAGCGTTTGGGACCTCTTCTAGGTGAGAGTTGGCAGAGGAGCTGGCAGTGGGCGTTGGTGTTGAAAGACCTGAGAAGCATGGTTGTGTTTACAGATGCTCTTTTTATTTCTAATCAGTTTTCCTTTTCTTTGCTGCCTTTGTCTTTTATGTGTATCAGGGCTTTACCTGCATGTGTGTCCCCTGGGACTGTAGTTACAGCCCTAAACTGCCTTGTGGGTGCTGGGAATTGAACCCAGGTCCTCTGGAAGAGCAATCACTGCTCTTCTTAACCACCGTTACCGTCTCTCCAGCCCCCTTCATCAGTTGCTCAGGGCACCCGAAAGAAATGAGAGAGAGCATTTCTTTCTGTGTGTGAATGTGTGTGAGTCAGAGAACACCCTCTGTTTTTCCTCTGTGTGCTCCGGCTAGTGGGCCTTCGAGTTTCTGAGATCCCTACCTCCCGCAGGGGTGCTAGACAGATATTTGTACTGCATGACTGATTTTCACATGGGAATGGGGAATTGAACTCTCTTCATGTGTATACAACCACAGCTATCTCTTCAACCCCGCCCCCTTTGGTTTTAAACCAAAACACCGAAACAACAAAAAAACACATTTATTCGCATGTGTGTTTATACATGTGTGGAGATCCAGAGGACAACGTGAGGGCGTGGATCCTTTTTCCTGCACTTGGGGTTGAACTCAGGTTGTCAGGCTTGGCGGCAAACACCTACACCTTAGTCAGCCCCCTTTTCTCTTTTTGTGGTGTTTTGGATTGAAGCCACTACCTTGTGCATGCTAGGGAAGAGCCAGCCCTTCCACAGAGAGCCACACCCATCAGCCCTAACTGGTGGGGTCTAGCCACATGCTTAACCGCTGACCTATTTTCAGCCCTCTTTATTTTGAGACAAGGCCTCAGTATGTGAGCCCAGGATGCTCTCTGACTTGGAATCCTCGCTGGGTGTGGTTGTGTTTCAATTCCAGCACCTGGGAGTCAGTGGCAGGTGGGTCTCTCTGAAGCCAGCCTGGTCTACATAGCAAGTTCTAGGCCAGCCTCGGCTGCATAGTGAGAAACCCTGTGTCGTAGGGAAAAACACACAGACACACACAAAGGAACTTGGTCCTCAGCCTCCCAGGTGTCGAGGTTACAAGCTGTGTCACCACGTCCAGCTTTTTGTGGGTGTTTGCAGACCTCCAGACACGGAAAGGGACAAGACAGGTCTAGGGCAGCATGCCTTAATCCTCCCTTACACAGGGTGCTACACTCCAAGAACGGTGCCTGATCCCCGTTCCACTGGGCCCTGGGGGCCTGCTTTGGGTAGGGAAGGGCATTGGAGAGCTAGAAGATCCGGCCCTCCGCACTGTGGGAGGAAAGGGAGCTTGGGCAGGTGGGCGGGTCTCCTGATGGTGTGGGTAGGGCTGAGTGGTAGGTGGCAACTTCAGCTCGGAAGTGAGCCCGGTTGGACTAGCCTTTGCGGTCCAGGAGTTCTCACGCGGGCTCGCTCTGTGATGCCCTCCGTCAGCTCTGCCACGTTGCCCCAGATGATGAAGTTTGTGGAGGAGAAGAATGGCGTGGCCAAACACATCAGCCGCTTCATCCTGCCCATCGGCGCCACCGTCAACATGGACGGGGCGGCGCTGTTCCAGTGTGTGGCAGCGGTGTTCATTGCTCAGCTCAATGGGGTGTCCCTGGACTTCGTGAAGATCATTACCATCCTGTGAGTGCCTCGGAGCTGTGGCAGGAACCCCGCCCGCCCCACCCCCTACCCCCTTTCCCATCATGGATGGATACGGCCATCTCACTTCTCTCCCCAGGATCACAGCTACTGCATCCAGTGTGGGGGCTGCGGGCATCCCTGCAGGGGGCGTCCTCACGCTTGCCATCATCCTTGAAGCCATCAGCCTCCCGGTCAAGGACATCTCCTGGATCCTGGCCGTGGACTGGCTCGTGTGAGTGGGGCCTTGGGGGTCTGGGGGTGCTGAGTAGTCCCCCTGGGAAAGCACATAAAGACTTCTGAGCACAGGAAGAAAGACAAGACAGGTCTAGAGGTAGAGGAAGCATGTGGGACCCTAACCTCATGTTCCCGAGGCGGTAGTGCACACCTTTAATCCCAGCACTTGGTAGGCAGAGGCAGGTAGGTATATTTCTGAGTCTGAGACCAGCCTAGTCTACAGAGAGGGTTTCAGGACAGTCAAGGCTGCACAGAGAAACCTTGTTACAAAAGTAATGGTATTGATAATAATTTATGCATTATTATTTGTTTGTGTGTGATAGGGGGTGGGGTTTGTTGCACGATGTTTCTTTTTCTCTGTCTGCTTTTGTGTGGATTCTGAAGATCAGTCCCAAGTCTTGTACAACAAGCACCTTTGCCTTCTGGACCCTCTTGACATTTATTTTTTTCGTTTGCTTTGGGGTGGTTTTGTTAGTTTAGACTAGATCTCATCATGTAACTGTGGCTGCTCTGGAATTTGCTGTGTAGTAGTCCAGGCAAGCTTGAAACTCATCATCCTGCCTCAAACTTCATGGTACTAGAAATACATGTGTGAGCCGCTATCCTTGGCCAATCTTTGGGTTCTCTAAGGAACCCCAGAGAGGCAGTGAGCTGTCATACTCCTAGGACAGGCAGCTTAGTTCTGTCGTAACGATGTGACTTTAATTCTCCTGTGTCTGTTTCCCCATCTGTACAAGGGGAAGAGAGTAAAGTATGTGCTATACAACTATGAGGTCCTGGATTTGCATCCCTGACACAGATGGATGGGTCTGTGAGCGTATTGGCCAGCCAGTCTAACTGATGTGGTCGTGTTCAATTCAGTGAGAGATGCCATCTCAAAACATAGAGATGTCAGAAGTGGTGATGGCACACACCTTTAACCCCCAGCACTCGGGAGGCAGAGGCAGGAAAATGTCTGTGCATTTGAAGCCAGCCTGGTCTACAGAGTGAGCTCCAGGACAGAGACCCTGTCTCACAGAGCAGCTTCTCTAGTGGGAGAAGGCAGGCCCATGTGTCCTTGCCTCCTCCTTCCCTCTCACTTTGTCGACGTTTGTGCCCTTTTAGGGACAGGTCCTGTACCATCCTCAATGTGGAAAGTGATGCATTTGGGGCAGGACTGCTTCAAAGTTATGTGGATCGCACCAAGACGCCAAGCTCAGAGCCTGAATTGATCCAGGTGAAGAATGATGTGCCTCTGAATCCACTGCCCCTCGCCCCAGAGGAGGAGAACCCTCTTCTCAAACAGTACCGGGGACCCGCCGGGGACGCTGCCACCTGTGAAAAGGAATCTGTCATGTGAATGTCAGCAGGGACTCTACGCTCAGTCCCTGGTGGTATCGCTTTGGAAGTGGGTGTCATGCGGGCTGGAGAAATGGACTGCTGTGGATTCTGGGGGTGGGGTCTACAGGGTCGGGAAACTAAGGGTCCCTGACTCCTTCCTGGAACGGATATCGGGAGCCTCATTACTGGGGTACATATGCTTATGTGCGAATGTGTCCACAAATCTTCCCCCATCCTGGCTCCCGTTCACGGAGACGGCATTCTCTGTCACCCAGAGCCAGCCATCCAGCCTACCTGTCTACCCAGGAGAGTTCTCTGTCGTCTAAAGGCAAAGTATTGCAATGTGCTGCTATCTAATGGCCATAGCTGGAGGGAGGGAGAGAGAGAGAGAGAGCTTCTCAGGAGTCCCTCCATGACAGCAAACTCTCTCCCACAAGTCCCAGGGGAACGCCAAGGATAAATATTGTCACTCCAGAGCACATTTTTTTTAAAAGCAATAAAATGGTGTCAAATGAGGAGTTCTAAGAATCTAATACCAGTGTGCTGGCACTCACCTCTTTTTTTGGGGGGGGTTAATTTTTGACTAAACAGGGTCTGGAGAGTTGGCTCAGTGGTTAAGAGCACTGGCTGCTCTTCTTAGAGGACCTGGGTTCAATTCCCAGCACTCACATGGCAGCTCACAACTGCCTGTAACTCCAATTCCAAGGAATCTGATGCCCTTACAGACATATTTATGTAGGGAAAACTCCAATGCATGTAACGATAAATTTATAAAAGGATGCTTTGACTAAGCACACTAAGCGCATCAATGCCAAAGACTAGTTTAGGCTTCACTGAACTCGGCAGGGATCACTGGGCTGGTAAGATGGCTTAGGGGTTCAGAGACCAGTTGCAAAGGCACACGACTTGAGTTACATCCCTTGGACCCACCTGGTGGAGGGACAGGTGATTCCTACACACCACCCCGATGTGTACACATGTACATATTAAAGGGGGCTGGAGGGGGGTTCACTAGCTGCTTTTCAGAGGACAGACAGGTCCACCCCCAGCACCCACATAGCTGTAACTCCAGTTCCAGGGGACACCCTCTGACCTCTGTGGTCACGTACACATATGTGAACACACTCAGACATATGTAGAAAGAAAGGGTTGGAAAGATGGCTCAACAATTAAGAACTCTTGCTGTGTTGGCAGATAGTCATGTGTGGCGCAACCATAGCTCCTGAGGGGATCGGATGTGCCCTTCTGAGGCCTGTGGGTTCCAGCACATACCCCTTTAATCCCAGCACTAAGGAGGCAGAGGCAGGTAGATCTCTTGAGTTCCAGGCCAGCCTGGTCTACAGGCTCCAAAACTACAGACTGTCTTGGTAAAACAAAAAAGCAAACGAGCTGCTGCTCTTCTAGAGGGCCTGAGTGCCATGGTTCCATGATGGGAGATGCCATTCTGTAAATATGTTTCTTTTATTGGTTACTGAATAAAGCTGTTGGCCTGTTACTAGCGTTTCTTATTGGCTAGCTCTGTCTTAAATATTAACTCATTTCTAAGTATTTCCACGTGGTCTTATCTTACCAGACCTCTTCTCTCAAGTCTCTATGTTTTGAATCCTCCTACATCTCCCAGAATCCTCGTCTCCTAGTCCCACCCATCTTGCCTTCCTATTGGCCAGCAGTGCTTTATTCAGTAACCAATAAGAGAAACATGTATAGAGTGACATCTCCCATCAGTTCTGTCCCTAGCACCACAAGGTGGTTCACAACTGTCTGTCACTTCAGGCCCAGACAACATAAGCTTGGCCCCAGGGCCCTGGTGACGGTGGAGAGAACTGATTTCACCAAGTCTTCTGATCTCCACACAGTCACACTAATTATTTTCAAAATATTTTTGAGATAAGGTCTCACTAGGTACCCCTAACTGACTTTGAGCTCACAGAGATCCACCTGCCTATCTTCTGAATGATGGGATTAAAAACAAGAACCACTACACTCAGCTATACTTAAAAATTTTATCCTTAAAAATCATCATTGATCCTGGCTTGGTGACATCTGTATTACAGCCTTTTGGGAAAATCAATGAACCTATAGTTGTAAGAATTAATTCATTTTGTTCTTGTTTGTGTTCTACTTACAAGTCCTGTACTGGGGCTGGGGGTGTGGCTCAGTGGTAGAGCCCCTGCCCTAGAATCCCCCAGTGAGGGGCTGGGGTGTGGCTCAGTGGTAGAGCCCCTGCCTAGAATCCCCCAGTGAGGGGCTGGGGTGTGGCTCAGTGGTAGAGCCCCTGCCTAGAATCCCCCAGTGAGGGGCTGGGGGCGTGGCTCAGTGGTAGAGCCCCTGCCTAGAATCCCCCAGTGAGGGGCTGGGGTGTGGCTCAGTGGTAGAGCCCTTCTAATACACAAGGTTGTTGGCTTCATCCCCAGCATTGGAGGTGTACAACTTCTAGTTCATTTAGCACTGTGACTTCCTGCCTACTCTCACTCTCCAAACATTTTCCATATAATAACTTGCTCTTTTAGGATTCTTCTTTATTTATTTATTTAATTCTGAGAGGGGAGAAAAGGAGATAGGTTCTGGCTATGTAGCCCAGGTTGGTTTTGAACTTTTCATCCATCTGCCTCAGTCTCCTGAGTGCTAAAGTTACAGATGTCCACTCTCATGCTTGGCTCAATGGGCTTCCTCCCTCCCTCCCTCCCTCCCTCCCTTCCTATTTTTTTCCTGGATAACCTGCCAGGCGTTGGTGGTCCATGCCTTTGGTCCCAGCACTCGGGGAAGCAGAGGCAGCAGATCTTCTCTGAGATGGACCTTGAATTTCTGGTCCTCCTGTTCCCACCTTTTGAGTGCGAGGATTACAGCCATGTGACACTGCCCCGTTTTATGTGGCGCTGGGGACAAACCACAGGCACTGTGTATTCTACGCAACCCTCCACCAACTGAGTTGAGACTCCCTACCTCACGGCTCTCCTGGTTGAACTATCCCCCATATGTCCACAAGAGGGCAGAAGCTCCCACTTCTGGGAGTTCCCATACCCTTTTCTGTGGGACCTGCAGTCGGGAGGCCTCTGCAGCATCTCCCTTCAGTCATTTCTGTAGCCTCGTCCACCCACCCACCCCCACACGTCTGTCTCTCTTCTTCGTTTGGTTTTGACTCTTTGAGACAAGGTCTCACTCCGCAGTCCCAGTTGGCTTGAAACTCCAGGCCTCCATGTCCTCCAGCTTTCCTTTCCTTCTTTAAGTTTACTTCAGACTGTGTCTTATTCTTTGACGGTTTCTTATGTGTGTACAATATATATTGGTCATATCCATCTTTAACTCCCATCAACTCCTCTCCTTTGTTTTGGTTTTGCAAGACAGGGGTTCTCTGTCCAGTCCCGGCTGTCCTGGAATTTGCTCTGTAGACCAAGCCGGCCCACAGATGACCTGAGTTCAATTCCCCAGGACTCACAGAATGTGGGTGTGGTGAATCTATGAATCTGAGACCAGCCTGGTCTACAAAGTGAGTTGCAGGAACAGCCCTGTCCCGGAAAAAAAAAAAAAAAAAGGCGTGTGTATGTATGTATGTATGTGTGGGCATGCATGCTTGTGGGCATTCATGTGCAGATATACATCAATGTAGGTATGTGAATGCGTCAGTTTTCTCCCTCCACTATGTGGGATATGGGGATCGAACTCAGGTCTCAGGTGCTTGGTGGCAAGCCCCCTGACTCCATCTTGCCTCTAGTTATTTTTTGCTCATACCAGGCTGGCTCCTGTCCCAGAGCCCTTTCTCTGGTTGTTCCTTCCCCTAGACACCTTTGACCCAAATCTCTACTTGGATCTTTCTTCATCTCTCTCAAATGCCACCTCAGCAAGGTCTTCTCTGGAGATATTTAATCCAAAGCTCACCCCCGACCCCGAGCCTCACCCACCCACCCACCGCCTACTCTGGTTACCTAGTTTTTGTTTTGTTTCGCACTTACTGATTTTTGTGCACGCGGAGGTCATAAGACAAACCTTAGTTCTCTCCTTTGAGTCATGTTAGGTTTTGGTTTTTTGAGACAGGGTCTTGCTTTGTACCCAACATGTAGCTCAGGCTGGTCTGGCATTTTCTATGTAGCTGAGGTTGCCCTTGAGCTCCTGCTTCTTGCGGCTGCCTCCTTCAGTGCTGGGGGTTGAACCTAAGGCCTTCTGCATTGGAAAGCAAGCATTCTACCACCCTGCCCATCCAAAAGGCTCGTCATTTGTAATATATAAATTACATATGTGATATGTCAATGACAACCCCAGGGGCCTGCCTACCCTAGTAACTGCTAAACTGGGGGCTCTAAATGTGCTGGAAGATGTTCTGGCAGCCAATTGCCAAGCGCCTTGGGCCACAAGATTTTCTGATGTGATGGGCAGGCCCTGGCCATGTTTCTAATGCAAACGGACACAAGCTTCCCTAGTTTTACATGGGTGTTCCACACTTCCTGGAAAATCCAGAGGCGGCTAGAGCCTCACAGAGGACCTTGTGTTTACACCGGAGACTTCAATGTGGGCTGTAGATCAATAACACTACACAGTGTGTTTGACCTCTGCCTCAACCACACACACACACACACACACACACACCAACTCCATGACCAAATGTAGTTTGGGGGAGAAAGGGTTTATTTCATCTTAAAACTCTCAGGTCATCCTCTATCACTGAAGGGAGTCGGGGCAGGATCAAAGAGGCAGCAACTGAGGCAGAGGTCATGCTTAGTGGCTTGCTTTCCGTGGTTTGCTCAACCTGGCTTCTTTCTCTCTCTCTCTTTTTTCCCCTTTCTTTTTTTCCCTGTGTAGCTCAGGCTGTCCTGGAACTCATCCTGTACACCAGGCTGGCCTTGAACTCAGAGACCTGCCTGCCTCTGCCTCTGCCTCCTGAGTGCTGGGATTGAAGGCGTGTGCCACCGCCAGGCTTCGGCCTGCTTTCTTACAGAGCCCAGGGTTGTGGTTTCTCAGTGGCCGGGTCCTCTCACATCTATCATTAATCAGGAAGACGCCCATAGACTTGCCTACAGGCCAATCTGAGAGGCTTTTTCTCAGCGGAAGGTACTCTTCTCAGATGACTCGAGCACCCAACCAAGCAGCACACTGCCCACCAAGACTCCCCTCCCCTTTGCTAGAGATGGGACTGGGTCTCTGTGTAGCCCTGGCTGTCCTGGAGCTTGCTATGTGGACCAGGCTGACATAGAACTCACAGAGATCTGCCTGCGTCTGCCTCCTGAGTGCTGGGACTAAAGGAGGGCACCACTGTGCCCGGCCCAGTACTTTGGGTTTTTTGAGACAGGGACACTTGTAGCCCAGGCTGGCCTGGAACTCTCCATGTAGTTGATGATGGCCTTGAAGTCCTGCTCCTCCTCTCAAGTGCTGAGGTTGTAGGCATAAATCACCATTCATGGTGGTTTCCTTTAGTTTGGTTGAAATGGGGCCTGCTGTGTTGAAGGCTGGCCTTGAACTCCAGCCTCAGCCTCCTAAATAGTCAAGATCACACATGCATACAGCTGTGCTGGTTTCCTGTGCTTTAATAGTCATTATTATTTTGTGGTACAGGTGACCAAGCTTAGGGCCTGTGCAGGCTAGATAAACCTGTGAGCTACATCCCTTCCCCATGCTTTAAAACACAAAATTCAGGACCAGAGTGTGAGGACACAGATCTATAATCCCAGCACCTGGGAGACTCAGGCAGGAGAATTACACATTGCAGGCCAGCCTGGGGTTCTTAGCAAGGGTCAAGGGTCAATGAAAATTCTCCATTGGACCGGATGTTTTGGTACACATCTACAATCCCAGTACTCTATAGTCCAAGCCAGTCTAGGCTACAAAGTTAGACCCTGTCTTAAACCCCTGCTCCTCCCAATAAAATAAACCGGGTTGGGGGTGGGTGGGGCACACATCCAGGTAGTGTGTGGAGCAAATCGTTGAAGCAAGAAAACAAAAGGCTCTGTTCATCTTGAATTTTTCTAATTTTAAAGTAACATAATTTAAGCCTTATTTAACATTATACAGTCTGGTAGTAGTGGTTTGAACATAATTTATATGCATGATCACATAAGGAAAGTTATTGTTCTTAACCTGTTAACTGGCACATCCGCTGCAAGGCCCCATTTGGGTGCTATTCCTAGAGCGGGACATAAAGTGGGCCTTGAAACGATGGCCTGAATTCCAGTCCCCTACTGGCCACGTCCTAGACTATTTGGTCAAGATAAATAACTGCCATTTTGGCCTCAGTTACCATCCCTGGAAAATGGATGTAATAGCAGCTATCCATTCCGGGGGTAAGAGTCAGGATAAATCCATTGGTGTGCATGGACCCCAGTAAGCGCTCAGTAACTGTGAGCTGTGGCGGAGGTTTACCCCTCCTGGCAGGCGGGGCAACAGTGCAGAACACTGAAGGAGAATTAATAAATATTGTCAGTTAGGATCCCAAACCAGCGCCCTGTTAGTCTTCTAGGTGCACAAAGGGGTTAGAAGCAGCAGATACCTCACGCAGCTTTCTCAAAGAGAAGGGAGGAGGCCAGGGTGGGCCCACCATCCAGAGCCACTCCAAGAAAACCAGAGATGCGGGCTATGGAGAGGTCGTCAAAGATGAAAGGCCCGGGACAGATGCGCCCTCTAGTGGAGAAAGCAAACACTACGGGCCAAGGATCCTGGGTGTTCTAGACACCAAAGGAAGCATTCAGTTATCTCAAAGGAGACGGGCAGAACGCAAGACTGCACAACTGGTCTAGGGTCTCCTAAGTTGTATGTGGTAGACTGAGGCTGGCAGGTCTGTCCTTCGGACCTCACTTCCCAAGGGCCTAGGGCTCTTGGGATATAGGGCAGAGATCATGCAAAGTCCTGAGGATGAGCTCTACACCCTGGGCCTGCCCATCAAAGGCCACAACTCCCCTCTGTTACTAGGATGGGCTAGGAGGTCTCCACACATAGCCCCAACTCACGGCTTAAGATCTGGGTTTGCTTCCTACCAAAGCCGGACTTTTCCTGTGGGCCACCTCAAGTCGGTCTTGGCCAATTCACCTCTTTTATTCTCCCATGCACAGCCTCGCCTGGCCCAATCAAGCACGCTTGTTCAGACCCACACGACCTCCAGAGGCAAAGAACAGCTTCCTGTATGTACCCTGCAGTTCCCCCAGTCCCCAGATGCGAGCGCCAGGGTTTCAGCCGCCTGTCAAGCTTAGGAGTGCAGGGTTGGGGTACTCCGGGTTCTCGATGACGCCAGGCCCGAACTTGAGCTCCAGAAAGCGGCGGTAGTTGTTGGGGGCCTGTGCCATGAAGCCGGCAAAGGGCAGGGGGACTAGCGGCTGCAGGAAGTGCTCCGGGAACTCCACGTCCTGCCGGTGGTCCAGCCACGTGTCCTTGGTCATGACCCCATTGCGGGGGTAGAAAGGCCACAGGTCCACGTGCAGGTGATTGCTCTCGCTGTACTGCACTCGGAAGAAGTCGCCCTCCACCGCCTTCTCCCACACGAAGCCGCGTTCGTCCACGACCGAGCCAGCCTCGGCGCCCCGCAGCTGCTCGCAGTTGCCCACGTCCTCCAGGTAGATGCCCAGGTCCACGTCGTAGTCCCAAGGGATAATGTCGCCGTGGCGGGCCGCACCCAGCAGCGAGCCGCCCTCCAGCCAGTAGCGCACGCCTGCCGCCTCCAAGACTCCCACCACGTAGCGCGCAGTCTCGCGTAGCGCGCGCAGGCAGCAGGGCGGTGTCCAGCGGCCCTCGTACAGGTAGGAGGGTGTGTCTCCCGCCACCGTCCCGAAGCAGCGCGCGCTCTCCTTGTGGCAGCCGAACCACTCGAGCCGCCCGCCCTCCCAGCTCACCAGGCGGATGCCCAGCGCCCGCAGCAGCGCCGCCCGCCGAGAGCGCCCCTCGCGATCCGCCTTCCAGCGCGCGTGGGCCGTGGCCAGCGGGGGTTGGTGTGCCGCGGCGAAGGTCAAGTCCAGCAGCTGCACTGTCCAGCCCCGGAGGGCGGTCTGCAGGAAAAGGCTGGTGGCCAGGGGCCGCGCCAGAGGCACCGAGAGGTTGAAGAGATCGCGGGAGCGCAGCAGCAGCACGGCGTCACCGTCTAGGGCGTCACAGCGGGGCGCGCCAGGCGCGGGACCATAGCGTGCAGTCCATTCCCGAAGGCTGACGTTCAGTGCCAGGCACCGGGCTGGGTTGGCGGTGGCGACCGGGGCGGCTACGAGGCGCGCGCTGCTCCCCCGGAGCGCCTCCACCATACGCTCCAGGTGGCCTGGTGACTCGGCCCGTGCTCCGTCAGGCACCAGGGCCACGAACTCCGTGGCCACGTATGTCTCTGGGCGCGAGGCCGCGGCTGGCCGGTCCAGGGCCGGCTGGAGCAGCGCTAGGCGAACGTTGGGGATGCGAGGCAGGGCCAGGGGTGGGTAAGGGAGAGTGTCAGCCGCCACCAGCACGGGCTGGGCTGGATCCTGCTGCAGGAAGGAATCCACCAGCTCGGGGACAGCGTTGTCAAAGGCCTCAAACTCCCGAATTAGGACGGTGACACGGGGACCAGTGGCAGGAGTCCGGCGTGGGCCCCGTGCCCGGGGGTTCCTGGGCTGGTGTTGTAGCCAGGACACATAAAAGAAGACTAGGAGATTGAGGATGATGGCGGCTGCCAGGGCAGCCCAGCAGCGGGTGAGCCGCATGGGGCCCCGATGTCAGACCCTAGCTGGGGTTTCCAGGGCATCCTGGGGAGACAGGACGAAAAGGGAGACACTTTTTAAAAGCCATAGTACATTGCACAATCCAGGCCTGGGAAAGCAGAAGCCGGAGGATGGAGTGTTCAAGGCAAGCATGGGCTACAGAGTGAGGCTTTTTGTCTCGACAAAACAAAAACCCAAAAGCAGGAGGAGGAAAGAAGCAACAGCTGCTGCCCTTTAACCCCAGCACCCAGGAGTCGGAGGCGGAGTCGGAGGCGGAGGCAGAGGATCTCCACGAGTTCATAGCCAGTCTGGTCTACATATTGAGTTCCAGGACACACAGAGCTATAGGTCCTGCTTTTTATTTTTTTAAAGATGGCTGGGGCAGGGCTCAGCAATAGAAGCCTAGAACTCACCATCAAGGAGTGCCCTGGGGGTGTGGCTTTTAGTGGCGAAACTGCACAACATGAAAAATATTTCATTCCCAGTACAATCAAAAAAACACAAATCAGGGCCGGAGAGATGGTTCAGCAGTGAAGAGTATGGGAATTCAGTTCCCAGCATTCACAATGCTGTTCACAAGTGTCTGCAACTCCAGTTCCTGGGGCTCTGATGTCCTTTTCTGGCCTCTAGGGGCACCAGGCATGCATGTGGTTAGTTAGTACACAGACATGCACACAGGCAACACACTCATACACTTAAATAAAAGTAAGGTGAGGAACCTGGAGCACAGAGAGGTGAAGTCACTTGCTCAAAGTAACACAGCGGAGAAGAGGGACATGGGTTTTGCTGCAAGAAGCTAGTTCCAGAATCCTGCTTCAAACCAGTAACCCAACGGGCACAGTGACACTCGCCTTTAATCTCAGTGTGGGGCAGGTTGACCTTGAACTAGGTAGCTGAGGATGACTCTACCTACCAAGGGCCGGGCTGGGATTATAGGCATGCACCCACCATCTCCCACAAGCACTCTCCCAGCTAAGCTAAGCCCTCAGCCTCAGTCCTAGCCCTGGCCCCTGTGTTCAGAGATCTGTGTTCGGCGGTCCTGAAAAGACAGGCAGACAAAAACAACTTAGGTAGGAGACAAGCAGGGGGCATGAGTGAGTAACACAGGACTCTGTCTAGGAAAAGGGTGGGGGTAGGGAGGGAATGAAGCTGCTGTCTCATTGGCTTTCCATTCCTTCCCCAGAACATCGTACATGCTACAAGTGCTGTTAAATGTGTAGTCACAGCTCTTGGGAGGTGGAGGCAGGAGGATTAAAAGTTCAAGGTTTTCCTTGGGCACTGCCTGAGTTTGAGGCCAACCTGGTCTAATGGGAGACAGTCAGAAAAATTCCAGACCAACGGAAAACAGTGCATAAAGTCTGGTGAGATGGGCCAGCAGGTAAAAGTGCTTGACACAAAGTCTGACCTGAATTCTATCTCCAGGACCCACACAATAGAAGGAACGAACCAACCCCAGCGAGGTGTCCTCTGACCTCTACACACACACACACACACACACACACACACGCACGCACGCACGCACGCACGCACGCACGCACACACACACTAAATAAGTGGAAATCTTAAAGTGTATGTAAGCGTATCACTTGGATTTGGCCTTAGCCTCATCACCCAGGCAGGGACAAAAAAGGAGGTCTATTAGGAAAGGGTAGCATCTTTGTGATTCTTGTGACATCAAGGGGATTTCTTACCTCCCTAGCTTTCAGGCTGAGGGTGATCAAGGAGGGTCGCTCCACCTTGAGTCATCTGCTCTGCTGAGGGAGGAACCAGAAAACATCTAATGAGCCAACTCCGTGCCAAAAAAAAAGTGCAATTTCATCCTACCCACAAAGGAAGTCAAGGACTCTATTATTCCATTTGAAGCTGGGCCAACACTTCAGCTGTCTCAGGGGTAGGGTGGCTGAGTAGAAGGTGCATCCGTTAGCCGCTGTAAGCTATAGCTATCCCTCTTCTGTGGTGGTGTGTGAAGGGCAGAAGTGACAGCAGCTGTTACCATGACAACATCTTCCCTAGACACATACATCTTTCAGAGATAATCCTAAAACATCCCGTCTTTCTGGATCATTAGAAGGTGGGAGATTGCCCTGTTATAGTAACCAGGGTATGGCTTTGACTGTCATCTCCCTGGAAATGGTTCAAGCCCCGTAACCATAGCAACTGTCCTACAGCAGCAGCGGTTCTCTAAATAAAAACACCTGGTTGGTTTGTCCATGGACCTCCCATATGGGAAGGGGAGATAGTTACTATGGTAACACGAACTGGGTTGGCTAGGGGAGGGGTGGGGCAGAGACATTCTTAGAGGAATGTCTTTGGGGCTGGGTTCTTTTCTACCTGAGCACTAGGTGAGGAGAGGTTGTCATAGTAACTGATGAGGGTAGGGCCAGAAGAACCACCAGGGACTTGGGTTACCTTAGCAACCTCCTCCCGGTGGGTGCAATGATAGTTGAGGTTAGGGGCTGCACATAAGGAAAATGGGAGGGGGCTGGAAGAGACCTCCAGGTTGGAAAGGGTTGCTATGACAACAGACTTGGTCAGGGCTAAGGACGGATCCCACTCCCGAAATTACCCCAGGTGGTCTATTTTTTTTTTCTCTTCCTCTTATTGAGAGAAAGTGATGGGGGGTGGTATTTGCATCTGGAGGGTGACAGGGCTCTGACATTGGAGAGGAGGAAGACAGAAGTCCCGTTGTGTGTCACTCCTGCAAGGGGGACAATTTGCAAGGGGGCCGTAGGTCCTCTACCCAAGCCGAAGCAGCAACCCCCCCTCCCGTGTCAGCATCTCGGAGCGTGCACACCATCGGGGGAGGGCGGGAGGGGAGGTCGACCCCGGGGTGGGCGAGGCTCGCGCCCAGCCCCGCGCTCGCCGCCGCTCCCCTCGCCCGCCGAGGCCGCGCGTCCGCGCTCGCGCCGGCGCCGGCGCGCGCACGAAGGGGTGGGGGCGTGTGAGTGCGAGGCCGCGCGTCCGCGCAGGCGCGCGAGGCACAGCGGGCGCGCGGGCCGGCCCGGGGGCCTCCATGATGGAGGAGCGAGCGGCCGCCGCGGTCGCCTCGGCCGCCTCCTCCTGCCGCCCTCTGGGCTCGGGCACGGCTCCCAACCCGCCGGCGGCGGCCCCGGCCTCCAGCCCCGCTCCTGGGCCCGGCCCGGTAGGTAAAGGAGGGGGCGGTGGAGGCAGCCCGGGCCCCGCGGCGGGCCCGGAGCCGCTCAGCCTGCCCGGGATCCTGCACTTTATCCAGCACGAGTGGGCACGCTTCGAAGCCGAGAAGGCCCGCTGGGAGGCCGAGCGCGCCGAGCTGCAGGTGAGCGCCGCCGCCGCCCTCCCGCCCCGCCCCGCCCGGCCCCGGCCCCGGCCCGGCCTCACCCGCCGCCGCCGCCGCCGCCGCCGCCATCTTGCAGCAATGGCCGCCGGGACGGCCGGGAGGGGGCGGGCGGGGACGGCGGCGGGGTCCCCGGGGCTTCGGGGCGGGACGCGGGCCGGGACCGGCCGCGGGAGCCCAGCCGAGCCGTCCCGGAGCCGCGAGTGGGAGTGGCGGGCCCGAGCCGTGCCTGGGGACAGGGTGCCGAGAAGGTGGATGGGGTGGAAAAAATGAAAGCCGCCTCGGATGCGGACTAGCCCGGGCGGGATGGGCTCGGTGCCTTTTGTGTGTGATGACAGGCTCGCGCTCGACATCCACCGGGTGCCAGGGGTCGAGACAAGGAAAGTCTGAGAAGCTGGCCTGGGGCAATTCACTGAAAAGTGGCCGCGCCGGGACTTCTCGGGGTGGGAGGGAAGGCTTATGGTGTCGGGTGTCCAGGATGGAGTTCGGGGGCCTCCCGTCCGCGTAGGTAGGACACGTCGGGGATGCGTGGGTAACCGCGTCCGGGAAGGGATTGTTTGGGTGCGATCAGGGAAAGGGCAGTGGGCATGCTCTTGAGGGTGCAGAGCGACAGGACAGCTGGGGGGTCTTGGAGGGAGTAGGGTGATGGTCCTGGTGTGAACGACGCGAGGATGTTAGGTGGGGAACCCTGAACTGTAGGGACATTTGTTGGATACATCCGGTACGAAGGCCAGAGCACCTGTGATGGACTTAGTGAACAGAGATAGATGGCTTCGGGTGGTGAGTTAGGGGGAGACTCCATGGGAGGAGAGGTTTTTGTGCAAGGGTTCCGAAGAGGACTCGATGGTTGGTGGAGAAGGAGTGTGCCAGGTGATTCTTCATGGAATAGGAGTTGGGCAGGCTCTGTGACCTTGAACGAGGGAGGTACTGCTCGTGGGTAGTGGTCCTTCAGATAGAGGAATCAGAAAGTGTGAGAGCACTTCAAGGCCTTGTGGGGGGGGGGGGACCGGCCACCTGGGGTCGGATGGTTCCTAGGCAGGGGTGTTATTAACAGAAATAGTCAGCACTTGGCTTCTGGCAACCCACCTCTGTGTTTCCCTGTCTAACTGAAGTAGGGCCCCAAGTAAGTGACTGACTGGAATTTTGTCCGTGGGGTGAAAGAAGGGAACATCCCATTTTTCTCCCATCCTTAGCTGCTGGTAGCTGAGGCTGTGCTGGGAGAGAAATCCTTATGTAAGTGTTCCTCGCATTGTGCCCAACTCTAACTAAGGCTCTTTCCCAGCTTACATCTCATCAGATCTCAGTACCCCATTATGCTGGCAGTGCCAATGTCATTACCTCACTCAGCAATAATGATAGCAACTGCTATTTCTTCAGGGTGTATTATGCGCTGGATACTGCGTTGAGTACCATGATACACGCTATCTCTTAATTCTGGTAGAATTCTGAGAGGGGAAATGGTAACCCATCCTCTCCTTTTTAACAAGTGGAGGAGGAGGTGGAGGATGAGGAGGAATGGGGTTTTGCACCACAAGGCGAAACCTTTGGATCACAGCAGCAAGTGCTGATCTTTCTTTCCCCTCTCCGTTACTCAGCACAGGTGAGAAAAAGGTCTCCAGGGAAGCTTAGAGGTCTCAGCAGGTCACCCAAGCCATCAGAGCAGAGTGAGGGCTGAGTCCTGGCCCGGAACGTGACAGCACAGCTGACAGCATCCACTGTAAC